ACGCAAATGCACGCAACCACCAGATTACACTTCAGAGAACACTTCCTTACATCAAACACACTTTCTGCCTGCAGGTATACAACTAGTTCTCTCATAAGCCGACTCACTATGTTGCTTGTTTGGTTAAAGGATTCATTAATTTTTCGCTGACAAACTCTCCTTTCTTCAAAGACAAAATATATTATTTGTCTTAAAATTATATCTTAATTGCGTCATGTTTGTGTTATATCAATACATATATTTATTTTTCAGTCTATACACAAAACTTCCCACCCATGCAAAGAGCAGATTTTGGTCACGTCAATAAAATTCCACAGTTGATGCAATCGTTACAGGAGAGTCGTTCAAAGATTTATTTGTTCCCTCACAAGGTTCCGACAACTGGCAAATGAATATGATAATAATATTGTTTTTTCTCTAAAATATATATATATAACCAGGGCTTTTACGAGGTTCGATCAGAAGGTTTCCAGACTGCGCGTATAAAAACCCGTACACTTATCTCAGGTATTAAATTCATCCATCACCCTCGAAGTAGTTCCCCTGGGAGTGAACACAACGATCCCAGCGCCGCTGCTAAGCCTGGAAGCATCCCTGGAAATCTTTCTTTGTCAGCCTGTCAAGCACCATCTGCGATTCTGCCTGAATCTCTTGCCAAAGACTCGCCAAAACGGCTATGGAAACCTATGAAATGCTAAAGAAAGCATTTGGGAAGTCCGCAATGGGTCGTGCACAAACTTTTGTGTGGCATTCACGTTTTGAAAATGGCCGAACCTCTGTCGATGATGACGAGCGTTCTGGACAACGCCCGAAAATGTTACGAAGATTCGGCAGGCCATTCACGAAGATCGACGTCGTACTATCAACGATTTGTGCGACATTGTTGGGATAGGCTATGGGACCTGTCAGCTGATTCTAAAGGACGGAAGCGGCCGTCAAAGTGGCGCAACCACAACTGGCTGCTGCATCATGACAACGCGCCAGCGCACACCGCCCTCAAAGTTCGGCAGTGTTTGGCCTCAAACACCATGGCCGTCATCCCGCACCCTCCTTAGCTCCGTGTGACTTCTTCCTCTTCCCAAAGATGAAATTTCAGCTAAAGGGAAGGAGATTTGAGACGATAGAAGAGATTCAGGCAGAATCGCAGATAGTGCTTGACAGGCTGACAAAGAAAGATTTCCAGGGATGCTTCCAGGCTTGGCAGCGGCGCTGGGATCGTTGTGTTCACTCCCAGGGTAACTACGTCGAGGGTGATTGATAAATTTAATACCTGAGATAAGTGTACGGGTTTTTATACGCGCAGTCTTGAAACTTTCCGATCGCACCTCGTATGCACGGAAGTTATCTGAGGTTAAATGCATTTCTTAATTGCATACAACTAAGTTCCGTATACCGCAATTAATGCAACCTGTTAAATTAAGAAAAGTACAAGAAGTGATAATTTTAAAATCCAGTCAACCTTGAAAGAAAATCAGGGTAATGGTGTTCCTATAATATCAGCATTGCAATGTGGAGAATGGTCTATTTTCTTAAAAATGACCAGTTAGTTGTAACATGCTAACAAAGGTAATTTTAAGTATATCCATCACAAGTGATTAAGTAAGTATATTTATTGGTAAAATAATCAGAGAAAAGCATTGTTGGAAATATATCCCCAAATTAGAAGGCGTGAACAATCAATTTCCTAAATTGAAGCTGAAAATTAATGTGGGGCCGCAATTTATTACGGAAACCTATGCAAACCACTTTTAACTCTACCCCTTCTATCAATATTCTGAAAAATTCTCTCTACATATTTTTAATTTTTTTAACTATATTTGTATATAGGCTGTTCCAAAACAGGGTGTCCATAGATAACTACGTAATCCTGGGATCATTTTGAGTAGAAAAGTTCTAATTAACATGGTACGACCAGCAACGGTTTGTCAAGAAAATCAGAAATATCATACTCTTGCATTTTTAATGTTTGTAATTTCATTATAGTTTAGTTTTCTGGATTACATATTACCAAATTCTGAATTTACTAACATTTGTGCCTCGAAATGGCTACCATTATTGTCGAGGCATCTTTGAGCTGATGAAAAACTCTCGGGCTACGAGCCGCGTCAGGTGGCTGAACGGTGAATACACCATATCCTCTGCCAACGTTTCGAGAGCCATCTCTGCTCTCATCCTCACGGCAGCTGCGTAACAAACTGGTCCTCTGTAGCGCGCTGGCGGATGGGAACTGGCGTTGGATGGCAGGTTGTTTTTTCAACCAAAAAGCTAACTAAGGGCAGAGTCCTGCGCCAGCTCAAGACATCGTCCCTTGCTAGGTACCACCAATCCTGCGTAAGAAACGTAATATTGGAAATGGTAAACAGAGCCTTAAAACTAAAACGGAATTTGCTTACACGGACATCTCGGGCTGTTAGAGACGGATATGACTCATATGTTCTTTGCAGATAGTCGTTCATCAATTTCAGTGGCCGCGAAAACTTCACTTTATACATCTTTGATCTCTTGAGATTTCATGTGAACCCAGAGGAAGTAATCTAAAGGTGACAGATCTGGTGATGTTTCTGGCCAAGACACTGGACCGCCTCGACCAATCGAACGGTCTGGAAAGTTTTGCGGAAATGTAGTCACTGCCCTGTCAAAGTAATATAGCAAAATTTGCGTACGCTGCAAGAGGTTGTACTAATAATCGGCAATTACTTAACCAGAGCATGGTAAATGCTAATTCCAACTTTGTTTACGAACCGTTGCGGATTGAACCCAGGTTAATTAGAACATTTCTACTCAAAATTATCCCAGGATCACGTAGTTAAGCTATGGACATTCCGTTGCGGGACACTGTACGTCTGCTTCAGATGTTGAGAAAACTATATCAGTTGTCTCAGTTTGACGAAATGAGTCTGAGCAGACGGAACTCCTAATTCCATTATAAAAGGTGGGGTCACAGTGGCCGCGCGGTCTGAGACTTGGGCCTTGTGCCGCTTGGTAACTGGGACTGTGGGTTAGAATCCCACTCAAGACATGGATGTTTGTCCGCGTTCTTCTGTGTTTTGCTGTCCTGTGTACATGTAGAGGCCTTGCGACGGTCCTATCCCTTGTAAAAGGAGTCCTACAAATACATATAGGTCAAACCCAACGAAAAGTTGGGACCCGCAGTGCTCAGGCACTTGAAGAACGGGTCGTGAAAGTATCAAAGTAAAGTATTATAATAGGTTGTTTCGAGATATCTAGTCTTCTTTCACGTCACATTTTATTAACTTTTAATTTTCCTCTGTAGAAGTAGGAAACCTTTGTGTCTATTTTTAAGAAAGGCAGCAGAGATCTTATTGTTAATGGTTGACTGCTCAACTTCAAATAATTTCCCCAAATTTATTAAACTATTATAAACGGCTACTACCATTCATTTAATTTAAATCAAAGTTAATACCAAATGTACATTACTTTGATTAATTAGAATATAAGGCATCTAATTTAGTAACTTGCGTTAACAATGCTTATTTTGATTTTATCAATTCCTTCGATTACGTTTCTCATACTTTTTTTGGATGCCCTTAATTATTTTGGACTATCTTCATTTTCAATTAAATGTTTCCAAAGCTTCTTATTCTAACAGATATTTGTACATACGTATCTTCGAAAAATTGTATTTTGTCTTTTCTGTATTATAAGGAATACCTCAAGGCACCTTTGACCTCTCTTGTTGCATATTTTCTTCTTCGTTCTTTCTCGATAATTTCGCGTTTTTCGTCTATCGGTTTCTGTTGATATTTAATACTTCGTTCTTTACGTTGCTGTTCAGAGGCCAACTGTTCTTGGTCAGTCAACTTTCTACGTCCAACCCCACCCTTGCAACTCTTCGTTTGTTTTCTTCTGCTCTTCTGTTCTTGTTGAATAAAGTCTTCTTTCGCTTATCCTTATTTCTTAAATTGTTCTGATATTTTAGTTCTTTACGTCGCTGTTCAGAGACAAACTGTTCTTGGTCAGTCAACTTTCTACGTCCAATCCTACCCTTGCAAATCTTCGTATTTTTTTCCTCTTCTGTTCTTGTTGAATACGTTTTCATACGTTTATCGATGTAAGTCTTCTTTCGCTTTTCTTTATTTGTTAAGTAGGTCTGATGTTTAATTCTTTACGTCGCTGTTCAAAGGCCAACTGTTCATGGTCAGTCAACTTTCTACGTCCAGCTCCACCCTTGCAAATCTTCTTCTTAAAATCGATTATAAAGTCAGTTTTCATAAAACTCGTAATCGTAATATATTTAATGAGTATCAGTTTACCTTGTTGGAGTTGGTACTTCAAACAGTTGATAACGTTTCAAATACTTGATAACGTATCCTTTCACTTTTCTAATGTTTAAGCCAACTGTCAGTCAATTTTCAAGAATGCGATGTGCTGCTTCTGGAACAGTGATCATGCGATTGGCTTGATAGATTTTGTTGTGAAGCATTATTTGTTTACTCGGCATTGTTGTGTTCTACAACAATGCCGAGTATAATCAAATATAAGGTGACATTGTTGATGACGTCATTCTTTGAAGACGACGAAAATCATAAATTTTTATAGTAAGACTAGAGCAGAGCGCTCCTTTCGAAGCTCCTCGGCTGTTCAGAGGCCAACTGTTCTTGGTCAGTCAACTTTCTACGTCCAACCCCACCCTTGCAACTCTTCGTTTGTTTTCTTCTGCTCTTCTGTTCTTGTTGAATAAAGTCTTCTTTCGCTTATCCTTATTTCTTAAATTGTTCTGATATTTTAGTTCTTTACGTCGCTGTTCAGAGACAAACTGTTCTTGGTCAGTCAACTTTCTACGTCCAATCCTACCCTTGCAAATCTTCGTATTTTTTTCCTCTTCTGTTCTTGTTGAATACGTTTTCATACGTTTATCGATGTAAGTCTTCTTTCGCTTTTCTTTATTTGTTAAGTAGGTCTGATGTTTAATTCTTTACGTCGCTGTTCAAAGGCCAACTGTTCATGGTCAGTCAACTTTCTACGTCCAGCTCCACCCTTGCAAATCTTCTTCTTAAAATCGATTATAAAGTCAGTTTTCATAAAACTCGTAATCGTAATATATTTAATGAGTATCAGTTTACCTTGTTGGAGTTGGTACTTCAAACAGTTGATAACGTTTCAAATACTTGATAACGTATCCTTTCACTTTTCTAATGTTTAAGCCAACTGTCAGTCAATTTTCAAGAATGCGATGTGCTGCTTCTGGAACAGTGATCATGCGATTGGCTTGATAGATTTTGTTGTGAAGCATTATTTGTTTACTCGGCATTGTTGTGTTCTACAACAATGCCGAGTATAATCAAATATAAGGTGACATTGTTGATGACGTCATTCTTTGAAGACGACGAAAATCATAAATTTTTATAGTAAGACTAGAGCAGAGCGCTCCTTTCGAAGCTCCTCGGGGGGTTGGTCGGTTTTAAAACGCTACCAATTCCCCTTCGGAGCTCCTAGGGGGGTGTGTGTCAAGTTTGTAAAACGCAACCAACCTTGGTTAGTCCCGAAGGGGAGTTAGTTTAGTGTCTCATTCAAGTGTTTTAACCCCTGAGTAAGAAA